AGTGCCTTATCGCTTTCAGCTAAATTTACTATTTTTATTTTTGTTTCAATTATCTTGGCTTGTGTTAACTATATAATGCCTAATCAGGTACACGTGAAAATTTAAAAAAGGATAAACAAAGGAGGGAATTGTTTTTTTTTTTTTGGGGTTCAATTTTGTTGTGTTGTTCAGTGGTGTATGTCAATGTCAAATGTGTGCTTGCATAACCATGTTTGCATAACTTCTATGAGCTCTCATTAGGAGCAAACCCACTGCAATAAGGTTTTTGCAGATTTGGAGCCTGGGAAGGGGCAGATTGTCCCATTCTTTGATTGTAATTGGAGAGATGACCCCACGCTGCAAGCCTATGCGAAGTGGTAGTGCAAGCTAATCTTGGCCCTTGTGCTTTTCCTTCCCTATAAGGTCTTATCTTTTAGTTTAGCAGGATTTCAACGGCATTGTGTCCCTCCCCCCCCAACCCACCCACCCACCCACAACAAACAAACAAAAAAAAAGAAAAGAAAAACCTTTTCTCTCCTTAAAAGCCCAAAAATACAGGAAAATGAAGAAAAAAAATTGAGAGCATTAAGCCTGGTGGAGAGACATTTTGTTATTATATCTCATGAATGATAATTAGTTTGCTTGTTTGCAAACTTTGTGCACAGAGACTGAGTTGCAGTTCTTTGGCTTGAGTGAAATTTGTTGATTAGCATCTTGGGTATCATATTGTTTTAGATTTTAATAACTGGCCTTGGCTTTTTGTCTCTCTCTTGACTTGTGGCTTTGGGATTACCAGACACAACCGAAGAGCTCTTTTGATCAACTATGTGTCTCTACTTATTTGAATTCATAATTTACAGGATAATAGCACGGATAAAGTTTGTGTAGACAAAAATAATGTACGTAATCAGATGGACAGAGAAGAGGAATCTTATGTTCATGAGGCATTTTTGGCAGATTGGGGACCAGGTACCTCCAATCTTGCTTCCAGTTTTCCCAACTCACAGCAGCAGGAGAAGTCCCCTCTGCAACCACCATTGCAGGAGGGCTCCCAAGTCAGTGAACAACTGCATAGGAGTGGGTCAGAAGGTGCCCAAGCCCCTATCTTCAATGAATTTCCAGCCGCTGTAAGGTACTTCAGGCTTCTGCACCATTATCATTTCATCTCTTTCATTAGTTTTTCTGAAATCAATTTGGATATTTGACAATGTAATTCACACTGTTATCTTGGACATTCATTTAAATGCTCAGCTAATGCTTTTGATTTAACTTTAAGGTCATCTAGCTCTCAAGTATGTGGCAGACCCTATCGTGCACGTAGAGTTAATAATGCCCGTCTAGTGAAATTAGCTCCAGACCTGCCTCCTGTAAATCTTCCACCCTCTGTCCGTGTGATGTCACAGTCTGCTTTTAAGAGCTATCAGGGTGGAGCAACTGTGCAGCCTTCAAGTGCCAATTCTTCTGTTATAGGTCCTGGAGCAGAAGCTGGAGTTGGGAAAGTGGTTAAGCATACTGCAAATTCAGGAGTTTGTAATTCAGCAAAAGCAGGACAAATTACAATAAGCCCTGTGAACGCCAACACTAGTAATCGGCAGCCTCGAGATTCTCTAATCATCAGGAATAAGGATGCTTCTGAAGAAAGAGATGAGTCTGATCTTCAGATGCATCCTTTACTGTTTCAGGCCCCTGAAAACAGTCATTTTCCATATTATCCATTGTACTCTAGTGCAAGTACTTCTAGATCTTTTAACTTCTTTGCAGGAAGTCCACCCCAATTAAATCTGAGTCTCTTCCACAATCCACGCCATGCAAACAGTGCTGTTAATTTCCTTGCAAAGTCATTGAAGCCGAGTGAATCAGGTTCATCTTGTCGGGTTGATTTTCATCCACTTCTTCAAAGATCCGAGGATGTGAATTCCAGTTCAGTGGCTGCATGTTCCACAGCTCAATTTTCAACAAATTTAGAGACATCTGAGGGAAGATGTGCTCAGGTTCAAAGTCCATTAGGTGGCACACCTAGTATGTGTCGTGCGCATAATAGTTCTGCTGCCTCTGCAGTGAGCCCCGGTCAAAAGATTAATGAACTTGACTTGGACATATGCCTCAGTTCCACATCCAGACAGCACAAGGCACTGGGAAGTGAAGATGTAAATGAATGTGGTACTGCTGTATCAGTAGCAAATACCAAGGATTTTAGAAACCTAGGATCTCCAATGCCAAAGGATTCTTTGAAACAGTCCAGCCAATCTATGCCTGTGGCTTATGCTCCAGATAAAATTGGCAGTAAGTTGGATTCGGGTGTCCATGCGGTGGTTGTAGCTAGTGATGAAGGAAACAGGAGCAGTGCTGATAATACTGAGGACCAATCTCTTCCAGAAATTGTAATGGAGCAGGAGGAGTTAAGTGACTCTGAGGATGAAGTTGGAGAGAATGTGGAGTTTGAATGTGAAGAGATGGCAGATTCAGAAGCCGAGGAGGGATCTGATTCTGACCAGATGGTTGACATGCAAAATGAGGTATTGCTCCAATGCCTTTTTGCGTTTTCAACTGCCTGAATTCTTGTGCCCTGGCAAGATACACTATGATGCTTTATGTCTTTTATTTTTTTTGTGGTAATTAATTGGGTTTGTTAATGCTGCTTTGGTGATTAGGTTGCACAAATCTGCATGGTAGTTTCTTTATCATGTCATTCATGTGACAGAAAGAACTGTATGGCTTTCAAGTTTATTGTCAAACTTAAAAAGAATAAGCCACTCAACAGTTTCATGGCAAACTTCTGTAACTGTTAGTGTATGACGAAGCTGGGATTTATACCTTTTCATTTGGACCTATATAAAGTGTAAAATATCTGATTATGGGCATTGGCTTGTCAGAGGGTAGATTTATTTTTAGTTTTCGTTGTTTAATAGTGCTGTTTACCAAGTTCTGATTGATTGAACTTGTTTAATGTGAGATTTGATTTCATTCTTTCTATAAATTGCTTGTTTCTTATTGATTACTTCTAACTTTTGATTAGGATGTGGAGAAGGCAGATGCTGATGCCGATTCTAATGATCAACAGGACGATCCAATTAGGTGTGATGATTCAGAAGGCAATGCTTTTCAAACCGTAGAAGGCCGCCAGATGGGCAAGAAAATTGATCATTCCTCCAGCTCTTTATCTTTAAATTTAAACTCCTGTCCTCCAGGCTCTCCTTTAATGAAGAAGCCCAACAATGGAAGTCTGAAGGGCAGTAATACAGCTCCAGACGAGAAGGTTCATTCTGGTGCCAGAGCAGCTACTGAAAACATTCCATCAAATGATGACAATGTAGCGTCTCAGAAGCAAGTCGTGGAGCTTGGATCACAATCAAATCTGAATTCTGGCATCACTTCATCGAAAAAACCTAGAAAACGTGCATGTGGTCCGGATTTGCGCTTACGGAGGGGCACACCAAAAAGAAGAAATACAAGCTTGAAAACTGATATGAACTCAGCAAAGTCCAAGCAAGACAGCTAGGGTTAATTCGGCTAGGTATGGATAGCTCTTCAATTTTTTCAAACGTTCGAGCTTGTTAGGCTTATTCTACTCGTCTTGGAGGTGGTGCTATGCCAGATTTCAACACCTTGAGTTGTAAATAAAAGGTGAAATTTTGTCTGTAGATTGGTGGATCTCAAGAGGTAAGAGTGGGGGTTCCTGTATTTGCACAAATCCCCCACCATGTCTCATGCGCAAGGCCTCCTGAATTTTGGTTTTAATGGCAGCAAAGAAAGAGAGATAATCAGATTGAAGTTTCTTTAATCTCTGAGAACAGTCAGAGTTGGTGAACGGCTATACAAAACTCGCATAATTAATGCCAAATGCATTTAGATTTGTGAATCCATTTTTGTTCTTTGTTGATCCAAGGGACTCTTTATCTCTGTGCCTTCCTTATATGGGGGGAAGGGGAAAGGAGAGGGCACAGAAAAACTGAACAGGAAAGAGTCGAAAACTCTTCCAATCTTCTACTAGCTCTAAATTCTAGAGTTAGCAGGGATATTAGTCAGATTACTATGAGTATTTTTTTTTTTTTTTTGTTGGTTCGACTCTTAAACTCTCTTATTTTTTTTCCCTTTTCCCTTGTAAATGTTGGAATAAATAAATACGTAAGTAAATAAATAAAATAAAAGCATTAAGACCTTCAAGACTTTTTTTAACTAATCCGGATTGATAATGGAGCTGGGTAAAAGTTTGCAAGTAAAAGCAAGTGAAAAGAAAAATTGGGTGCATTATAACTTTAGGGTATTTCATCAACTTTTTTGATAGTTTTAACATCAGTAAGATTAAAAATTAGCTAATTCTTTGCATTTTCTTCATCGTACTTTTTGTATTTCAGGCCAAAAGAACAAAGAGCTAATAATCCATTATTTTCCAGTAAAAGATTTGAAAACAACAGCATTATTCTTCTAAAAATGTGATTTTACTCCCTAGAGTTTAATGAAAATTATAACAATGCATTAAACACAATTTGAAAATGTATATTGGTTTGTCAATTAACCTATTCATTATTATTAGCGCAAAAACCTTTTTAACCACTTCGAAAATTGTATATCAACCTTTTCTTTTCTTTTCTTTTCTTTTTTTCTTTTTCAAATCTAGCCTAGCCTAGCCCGCTTTAATGAATCCACTCAAGCTCAAGTAAAACTTGACTAGCTCACCATGTGAATTTTTCATAATCTACACTTATTATGTCAATTGGAAAAATAAACAAAATATATGACCTTGTTTAATCTTTGATTTGATAAACTTCCTATTTGGATTGCTATTTTTTTTCTAAAATTTTTGTATAAAAATATATTATAATGATTTGATGTATGTGAAATAAAAAAGTGATTGAGAAATATATCTACAAAAAAATGTAAAAATCTTTTGGAAGAAAACTTCAATTCAAAGTTTTTTTTGAGACATATGAGATAAAAAGATTATTATAGAATCTGGATCACCTTTTTTAAGTCCAAATAGCCTGGTTTGTTTTTACGACCCGTAACCTGTTGTTTTTTTTGGGAAAACAGGTAGTAAATAAAATCTTGAAAATGTGCCCCCGCTGCTGCTTCTCCTCTGCCTTTTAGAACAAGACAGTCACATTTTCCTATTTACTTTGCCGCCAGCGACTCCTCTTCTCTGTGCTCTCCATAGTCCCCGAAGAACCATAAAGGGAACCCCCTGGAACTAATCCGGTGAGTCCCCATTCCCAAGTTCAGGATTGAATTTGTTTGAGTTTTCTGTTTCTCTTCTTGGCGGTTGTTATAGTTCTACCACTTGTTTGATAGAGTGTTTGACAGAGAATGTTTGCCCTTTTTTTTCTCTGTTAATTTGTTTAAGTTTAATTGCAGATATGGGTTTTTATTGTTTTAATAATTAGGTTAGATTGTTGCAAGATGGATTTCTGGGTGTACAATTTCTCAGCAGCCCATGAACTAAAATTGTAGAAAGAAACTCTTTTTTTTTTTTTTGGGGACATGATACGCTTGGTCTTCATGTTTTTTTTTTTTATTATACTGGATACTGCGAGTATCACAATCCAAATAGACTACTTTCGTTCTTCTAATTGCAAACACATTTTGTGGCTGTTTTAACTGTTTCTCAGGCATCAATTACGCATCTATGTATTGTCTGTGATAACCTATTTTCCATTGAATTGAAAGCTGAGATTCACTTAAAACATTTTCTTGAAAACATGTTTTCTTGGCCTGGACCATTATACGTTCAACTAGTGAGGGCTCCATGGTTAATTCAGTTGAAGCAGATTAAATTGCGAATTCTTGCTGTCACTTAGCTGCTGGCTCACTGACTATTTCTGTCGAAACACCTGCTTATAGTTGAGATAGTGGCCTGAAGACTGTTAACTCAGCTGCTGAAATTCCACTTTGACTATCTTCACCTCTATGTTCTGATTGCTCTATATGCACTTTTTAGTTTGTTCTTCACGGATATGGTCAACTTTTGTCTGCTTATATTCATTTTCTTCAAATAAATTTGTTTGGCAACCTTTTGTTTGTTTTTGGTATGAAGCAGGCTATGCTATGAAGTGGCTTTGTCCGTTCTATGTTTTTAGGCTTGTTTTCACCAAAAAGACAATGTCTTTTTATCAGAGGCTTTCATTTGGCTAAACAGTTTGCCAACCCAAGTGCTGAAGATATTATTTTTAAGGCAATTTGTGTGAACTTAAGGCAAAAGAAATGGAATTTACTGGACAAAATGTTGCCAAGCCTAACAAGTTCTGTTGTTTCTCGTGTCTTCCACGAGTTTCAAAGATCCCCACCAGTAGTTTTAGAGTTCTACAACAGGATTGGAGGGTACAAATTTATATTGGATTCTTCAAGTTGTTGTGGTATAGTCATTCATGTCATGGTGAATTGCAGAAAGTATGATGATGCACTGTTTTTGATGAAAGAATTGATGATGGCTAGGGGATGCTCGCCCTTAACTGTTCTGGAGATATTGCTTAACAGCTATGACTCGGTTTTTTCAAGTAGTGCAGTTTTTGAAGCACTTGTGGGGGTGTGTACTCAAATTGGCTCAACCAAGGGTGCTTATGAGGTCATCAATAAATTGAGAGTGGAGGGCTTTTGGCTTTCTATTCATGCATGGAATAACTTTTTAAGTCATCTGCTGAAATTAGATAAGGTAGCTCAGTTTTGGATGGTATACAAGGAAATCATTTCATATGGGTATTATGAGAATGTGAATACTTTTAACTTGATTATATATGCTTTTTGCAAGGAAAGTAAATTCTTTGAAGCCATCTCAGTTTTCTATAAGATGTTGAAAAATGGGATTATGCCAACTGATGTTGCTCTCAACATGCTTATTGATGGTGCTTGTGGTATGGGTGACCTCAATGTGGCATTGAAACTTGTCAGAAAGATAGGAACCATGTCAAAGGGTTGTGTGACCCCTGATTCAGTTACTTATAATACTCTCATCAATGGATTTTGTAAGTTGGGGAGTGTGGCAAGAGCAGAGGACTTTCTTGATGAAATGCTCAAGATGGGTATCAAGCCCAATGTAAGAACTTATGCAACACTGGTTAATGGATATTGTAGAAATGGCTGTTTGGAGGAGGCATTCAGGTTGTGCAATGTTATGGTTGAAAAGGGTTTGATGCCTAATGCAGTTGTTTATAATTCAGTTATTCATTGGCTGTACATGGAAGGGGATGTGAATGGAGCTTCAATATTATTGTGTGACATGATCAAGAGGAATATATGCCCAGACAAATTTACCTATTCCATTCTTGCAAATGGACTCTGTATGAATGGCCATATGAGTGAAGCTGTTAAGTATTATAAGTGGATATTAGAAATGAAGCTTGTTGAAGATGTTTGTCCTGCCAATATACTTATCAATTATCTTTGCAGAACTAAAAATGTATCAGGGGCTAAGCAACTTTTGTGCAATATGTTTGTCCGTGGACTAATTCCAGACCTGGTCACTTATGGTTCATTGATTGATTGGTATTGCAAGGAAGGAAACATGGAAAATGCCTTGAGAATTTATGATGATATGGTAAAGGTGGAGAAAAATCCCAATTTGGTGATCTATAATTCTATATTAGATGGTTTTTGCAAAGACCAATCTGTAAATGCAGGGAAACTATTGCTAGATGCACTAAAACAAGCAGATTATTTTGATATTGTAACATTTAACACTTTGTTGAATGGATATTGCATTAGCGGCAATATGGATAATGCATTTCAGTTACTTGTGGGTATGAAGAAGGTTGGAATTTCTTTCAACAGAGTCACTTACAATATATTGATCAACTTCTTGTGTAAGTTTGGGTTGATTGAGCAGGCAAAGGAACTTGTGGATATGATGCTTGCTCAGGGCATAAATCCTGATTCTGTTATATATACGACTCTTATTATGAGCGGGATCAAGCACTGTGAAGCTGAGGAAGTTGTTGAATTACATGACTACATGGTGCTTAAAGGAGTAATTCCTGATAGTCACGCAAACCAAGCCATTGTTCGTCCACTCACAGCAGGGGTATATTCAGATTCCACTTGACTTTTTACTGGACATAATGTTGTATATGCATCTCATGAAGTTGAAAAAGCATATTCCTTTTTTCTCATTTTGGTAGAACATGCATTGTGTACTAGACTTCTTTAAGCCATGACTTAGAGGCATGCTGTATCTGTGTCTTAAATGGCTGGGAATATTGCATATTCTGTTCCTACCTATGCTACAGAATTTCTCATGTACTAAATGTTTTTGGCTGGGCACACCTGAAGGTTAAAGGTTCTTTTCGACTTGCTTAAATTAGCTTTCTGATTGAGGTGAGTTTCGGGATCCTTTTCTCCGTTATGTTTCCACTTGAATTTTAAGTGTTTAACATGTAGAAAGTATAATCTCTTTATCCTCAGAAACGGTCTTTTTGTGGGTGGGTGGGAAGAGAAACATTTTTGCCTGCTGAAATTAGGAACTTGCAGGTGCTGAAATTAGGATGCAAATTGAAGAGGTACAAACTGCTGAATGAACTGAATGTTGTTACCTCACAATTGGTGGGATGGATGGTGCTTATATATTGTATCAATCAAAGTGAAACCCAATTTCTATTCGAAACCGATAAAGAAAAAAGGGAAGAAAGAAAGCAACAATAAGTTAAAAGCCGAGTTTGCTGAAGCAGACGCTTCTTGAAGAATCACACACGCATTGCCGCATATTCCTGCAGTACGAAACGGTGGACCCAATCACTAGAGGACATCTGCCTCACAAACCATGCAATCCAGAATCTAATCAAAATTTTAATCGAGTTTAAGGTGCCAAATCCCACTACGAAAACAAAATTTAGCTCCCAACCGTAATCTCCAACGGTCAAAATCCTTATCCCAAAGCCTCATCCAATTAAGCACCTCTCATTTCCCTCCTGCCCTCGACACCAAGAGAAATCTACCTCAAGAAACCAACAACAGCGACAACAACAACAACAACAACAACGCAATAGAGATAAGACATCATTGCACAGAAACTCTTAAAACAAACCAACCCCACACCTCATATCTTCTTCTCTTCCCCTCCCTCTGATCCTCCTCTTCTCCTCCATTGCCACCGGTTTTTGTAGAGCTCCAAAGAGGGGCTGAAGCCTGAAACCATGTCTTGCTCAAATTTAACCATGTGGGTTTCCTCAAAAACTTCTCTTTCTGATTCAACTGCGCTTTCTTTTCGCTCTTCAATCACCCCTGTTCAGCTCCCTAGCAACAACTCAACCACTGCCAACCCCTCAAGGCCATCATCAGTAACTCCAATTCATTGTGGACTTCGCGAGCTTCGTGATCGTATTGTTACTGTGAAGAACACACAGAAAATCACGGAGGCCATGAAGCTTGTGGCTGCTGCTAAAGTGAGAAGAGCTCAAGAAGCTGTGGTCAATGCCAGGCCATTTTCAGAATCTCTAGTCGAAGTTCTTTACAACATTAATGAGCAGCTCCAAACTGACGACATTGATGTTCCTCTCACCAAAGTTAGGCCTGTTAAGAAGGTTGGTCTTGTAGTCGTTACCGGTGATCGTGGACTTTGTGGCGGTTTTAACAATGCAATTATTAAAAAGGCGGAGGCTAGGATAGCAGAATTGAAGGGACTTGGCCTTGATTACACTATAATCAGTGTGGGGAAAAAGGGTAACTCATATTTTATCCGCAGGCCTTATATTCCGGTAGACAGATTTCTTGATGGTACTTCTCTTCCCACTGCTAAAGAAGCTCAAGCAATTGCAGATGATGTCTTCTCGCTTTTCATAAGTGAAGAGGTGGATAAGGTAGAGCTTTTGTACACTAAGTTCGTTTCATTAGTGAAGGCCGAACCAGTGATTCACACTCTGCTTCCGTTGTCTCCAAAAGGAGAGATCTGTGACATAAATGGGAACTGTGTTGATGCAGCCGAGGATGAGTTCTTCAGATTGACAACCAAGGAAGGCAAATTGACAGTGGAAAGAGACATTATGAGGACTAAAACAACAGAGTTTTCGGCGATCTTGCAATTTGAGCAGGACCCTGTTCAGATCCTTGATGCCTTACTCCCTCTTTACTTAAATAGTCAAATTTTGAGGTCATTGCAGGAGTCACTGGCTAGTGAGCTTGCTGCTAGGATGACTGCAATGAGCAATGCGACTGACAATGCTAATGAATTGAAGAAATCCCTGTCTATAGTCTACAACAGAGAGCGTCAGGCCAAGATTACAGGAGAGATATTGGAAATTGTTGCTGGAGCCAATGCTTTGACTTAAGCATTCTAATTGTCTCCCATGATTGTGCTTCACTATAGGTATTTTTGTTGAAAATTCCATTTTCATCAAACTATGCTTATTTAAGAACTGTAAAGTAGAGTAGACAGTTTCGTGTTGTAACTTCCAACCACATACAAACTTCATGCAATATGAGAACCACAATGTATTTTGGAGACATGAGAGTGTTTCTGCATCTTTGAAACTTTTATTTTTGAGTCATCTTGTGTAATACCTCTTGTATTAATTCAGAAAGTTTCAGCTCAACATATTTTCTTGATCGCTAGGACATTTTAGATTGTTTTCATAAATCTACTGCTACAGAAACAGCAGAATTACTTGACACTGCACCGGGCATTTTTTTTCTTCATCTGATGGTTAGGTTACTTCGTGGCATGAGATCTCAGTCTATATGTAAAACATTCACCATATGAAATTCATTTTTATGTCCAGTAGCTTGATCATTTTTCTGGGACCTATATCTACAAAAGATGTCATTATGATTACACAATAGTTCATCTTAAGTCAGCTTGAAAGCTAATTATTCGGATAATCTAAACTCATATGCTCTTGGCTGCCATGAGGTAGTCTTAGATAATTTGCTCTGTACTTTACTTCTTCCTAGCTTAACTTTGAAAAATGCAGAGTACAACTGTTGGAAAAATGGCTCTTTTCCCAGTATGTGAAGAAAATCAAGTATCTTCAATTTCTGCCATTCCTTCTGGAAGCTCCCATGCCACCATGAGACTGGACCATTTTTGGGGTATAGCCTTTATGTATGTTACCTCCCAGGCTGCTGGCTGAAATAACTTGTAGCAACATCTCGCTACTGCTGCTATCAACTGATTTGCTCTGCCAATTTCTCGAGGACATATGAGCCTTCTTCTTACTTTGGTTTCATTAGCATCAAACCAAGCTATTATTATTAGAGATCCCAGTAGCTACAAAGTTAAATAGCAAATATGCTAAACGAATGAACTTTTCATGACTAGTCGCATTGTGCCGCTTGCATAATTAGCTTTTAATGAGCTGTTGATGGTGACTTGGAGCTCATTAAGACATCTCAAACTAGCTTCTAATGCAAATACCATGGGCAACAAACTAATGAATAACCACAATACAAGTTGTAACATCGGCTTGTAGCTGAAAAGAGGACACAAAGGAGGAAATATCTGGGACAGACAGCAAGATATTTCTCCTCAACTTCTAGTTCAGACTTTAGCAGACTAAGATAATTTTGTAGTCTGGAGATGAAAGAGCCAGAAAAGCTTTAGGTCTATAGCAGTTTTGTCCAAGAAACAAATCAATTCCTTTAAAAGATTATCCAGCCACTGATACTGGGCTTCCAGGAGCTATGAAAATGTCCACCTGTGGAGCTGTTGATAGAGTGAGGAAAAAGGCAGGATTAGGCATAGTAGTCAGAGATAACAGTAGGAAGCCAACAGCGACAAGGGCGATTCCTTTGACTTTCAGTGGAGATAGGATCTTAACTGAAGCTTTAGCAATTCGTGCAGGACTGCTATATGCAATGGAGAAACAGTGGGCTTCTTTAGAGATCCAATCTGAGTGTAAAGCCTTGATAGATAGACTGAATGAAGATGCTGAAGATGAATCCCAGCAGTAATCATCAGAGATATAAAGCAACTTCAAGCATCCTTTTGGAAGTGTAAATTCTCATTAGTTAGTCAGCAGGAAGATAGAGTTAGTTTTAAGCTTGCAAAATTTGCAACCAAACTGATACATGATGTTAAGTGGGAAAGAACCTTCCCCCTGTGGCTCAAAGGAGCATCACAGTTCTGATGGAGCAGTTGCACCCTTTTGTATACTGTTGTAAAGGCATTAACTATTAATAGAAAAGTAAGCGACATTTTGACAAACAAAAAAAAAAAAAAACTGATACTGGTCTTCTTTTATATTAATGAGCTTATCCTGTACAAACATAACTGGAGTGTTTGAGAGCTGAGAGTCCTGTATTAAGGAAACTCAAAGTCAATTAAACCCTCTACTTTGCTCCATTGTCCTATTAGTGATTCGATGCTTGCCAGGCCTGGGAAAATCAGAACGAGAAGAAATTGCTATTTGATGATCCATTTAAATTACCCTAAGTAGGACACTTACACACCTTAGGCATTTCCACATTGCACTAGTAAAAATAAAACAAGCAAAATATCAAACCTCTCCAACATAGACATCGTTCTTCATTTGATTTAAAACCCGTCACCCACAAGAGAAAAAAAATTTAAACAAAACTGAGTTCCGCACGAATTACTTCTATAATCAATCCACTATAAACATAGGTGATAACTGCCAATGAACAACCCATATTCAAAAAAGAAAGAAGAAAGACAGTACTTTTTTTTATTAATTTTTGAGTTTCTACATCATACATATGGTATTTTTTTTAGTATAATGATTACTGTAATTTCAGCTTTGCTACTACAATCACAACCGATAATGGATAAAAAAATGAACAAAAGAAATTAGAGATCCCAACTCAAGTTTCCGACTACAACTCGGAAAATATCGGGGTGACAGCGATGAGTTTCTTCCGGAGAAGGCAGCGAGGAGCACTGCGGTTATTCTTGAAGCTAAAAGTGAAACAAGGAATCGCCTCCATGTCGGAAATAGATGGCCGCAAGGTCAATTCAGAGGTGGGTTTGAGTTTGTAGAGTGAAATCTGGGTAAAATTCAAATTTTCTTTTGCTTTGAATTTGGCGGTGATTTTGGAATTCCTGAATTGGGCTAATGCTCCGGGCTTCAAGTAGCATCTGCAGAATGTGGATGGCGGTGATCTGATGCTGCTGCAGATTCGGATTCTGGATTTCATTTTTCAGCAAACAGATGAGTAGCTTACAGGTTATGAGAGAGAGAGAGAGAGAGAGAGAGAGAGAGAGAGAGAGGAATCGAGAAACCCTAGAATGAAGCATAAGGAGGAGGAGGCGGGGAAGAAGGGTTTTTTAAATACAAAGGGCGGATAGGCGGGAAAAAATGGGATGATGAGTTTTTGTTGGCGACTCTGCTTCCTCTCTCCTTATGAAGTCATGTAAATGGGCTTTTGGCTTCAAAGGCACCATGCTTGCCTTTTGGCTTCAAAGGCACTATGCTTTTCCTTTAAATTCTTTTTTTTTTGGGGGGCAAGGTAACACTAAATTCTTGAAAAGTTGACAACCTAATTTGATTACAAAAGTGGGGTTAGATGTATAATAATTAGTTATAATTTAAATTATATGATTAAAATTGCCAAAAGTATACAATTAAAAGTGTCACTCTACAAACTATGTAAAGTTTAAAGAGACTTTGAGTAAGTTATACTAGTACCTTGCATATGCACCTTCTAGATCTAATCTGTGAACATATTTTTTAGGGCAAAAAATCATGGTGGTTCTCCAACTTTAAATTTTGCACACTTTTAGTCCTCCAACTAATAATTGCGCAAATGTAGTTCTCGAATTAAAAAAAATGTATATTTCTAGTCCATCCGTCCAATTTCGCTGTTAAGATGGACGGGAGAGACATCACGGACTACTCTCATAATATTTGTTGGGGGCAATCTCGTCAACACAGCAAAGGGGCTTACCTTAAAAATCTCCTTCTTCTCCATTTTCACTCCATCTGAAGCTTGTAGGAGTGGTACTAGTAGATTTTTGGTCTCAATTGAGCCGAAAATAAGGGGATTGAACACTCCAACTCTCTCTGTGTGCCCCTGCGGTAAATCGATAAAGATGGTGACTTCGTGGACATCTCGAAATCCTGGCAGGATGTATGCAGTATACGCAGATAGGGGTTGCGAGTTTTGAGATTGGATCGATGGGAAAATGTGTCATCACTCAATTGAGGTAATACCTGGTCTTCTAAGAAAGGTGAATGCAACTGAGCAACCAAGGGATGAATTGCAAATTATACTGACCAAATTGAAGTCAAAAGCTGCAAAGTTGAAGGTGAAAGTGAAGGACACGGAACACGAATTGGCGAGGCAAAAGCATATTAGGAAGTGGCTTGTAAGACTACTGGTACTCTCTTGGGTTTTAATCTTATTAGTGGTGGTTTGGCTTTGAGATGAAAGATGGACTTCTGGAATGCTGCAAATTGAGAAGCTCTATGAAAATTGTGTTCATGTGAAAATTGTATCTATCAAGATGTTGATGAAGTAATCTGATTTTAAGATAATGTAAAAATTGTGTTGTAATCCTGTCATATTGTATTGGCCTTTTGTAGTGTTAGCTAGGCTAACGAATATGCAGTTGAATTGTACTCAATGCTTTTGGAAGAATGGAAGTAATAGAATGAAGTTTGATCTAAACTGGTGTAGCTGTGAAATTGTAATGGTAGGTTGGCAGCCACACATGAAGACGACGTTCAGTTAACAATTAGTAGACAAAACATAATAAAACAGTGGGTACCATCCAACATAGCTTTACAAGAGAAAATAGTGGGTACCATCCAACAAAATTTGTACCATCCAATAGACATTGAATTAGTGCTAAAAATAATAGTAGAAACCAGAATAAAACAAAACAAAACAAAATGCCCTGTTATATGCATTTACAAGTGGATACCATCCAACATAGTAGTCAAAACAATAGTCAAGCTTGACCATTTAACAATTAGTAGATAAAAAACTAATCCACTTATACAGAAAAAGCTAAGCAGTTGGACAAAACCATTACTTGGTCAAAAGCTGTCTATTACAAAAGACAAAAGACGTTTCCCAGTCAAAAGAGATCCAACAATAAAGTATTGCTAGGTTTGCAAAACAATGGGTGTTGTTGTATTAAGCTGCTATCTATCCTCTTGTACCTCCAATTCCTCTTCCTCTACCAACTCTTCCTCTGCCCCTGCCACTCCATTTTCCCTTCCAATTCCCAATAATGAAGGGAGGTTGCTTGCCAAAATATGCGTAGTTCAGATTGATAAATCCTTTATCAGCATCTGTTAAAGGTTGGTTTGTTGAATTTTTCTGCTTTTGTTTCTTAAGAGGTAGTTTCTGTATTAAGGGAGTGCTACAAGAGGCCTGCTGTTCTTGAAGATTAGCGCCATGCTAGAATGATGATTGGTGGTCTTGCTGATCCATTTGTTGTTGATGTGTCTCATTCTGATGCTCATGTTGGTGTTTAGATTCAAATCCCAAAAGTTGATGCTCATATGCCTCGTCAACTTAAAGAGATCATCGCTGCACATTTCTTTTTTTCTTCCTTTGTTGGTCTTTTCTAACCTGTCAATGGCAGCAAATAGCAAAAAGCAAGATTTTAATCTGCATATTCATGTATACCACAATTTGTATACACTTACAGTCTGCCTTTTAGATGGCCTCACAGAAGACTTTGGACTTTTGGGATTTTCTGCACCCTGTGGAGTATGTACACCAATATTAGTATCCTCTTCTACTTGATTAGATTGAGTAGACTCTTCTTTGCAGCATATAGCTACATTGTGACATGTCTTCTCACACTTTCTATAATGTAGAACAATTCTCCTTCTCAGTTTTCTACCATGATTTTTTTCTTTTGTGATATCTCTCCTTCGAGCCTTTCTTGGCCTCTCAGGTTGAGCAACATCGAGTGTTGGGTCCAATATAGACATGATGGATAGGAGCCATAGAATTTCACTACTAATTGGTTCGAAGACATTACAATATATCTTCAAAAATATATCTGCATTGTAGCAACCTTCAACTTCATTATAAGAATTTTCATTATTCCTATGAATTGCTGCTATTGCATGACAGCAAGGAATTCCACTTACGGCCCACAATTTGCACATGCAATGTTTTTTTTTTTTTAGGTCTACAGCATATTGGTCTCCTTTAGGGCACTTCACTTGATAACCAACAACAACATTCCAAATAGGATTCCGGTGAGTTGAACGCTTCACCCTCTCATCAACAATTTTGGTGGGAAGTGGTCTAATAGGACCTTTACATTTCTCCATGGCTACTTTTCTTTGTTGAATCCTATCCATAATATATTCTCTAATAGTCTCCAGTAGTAAAATTATAGGCTGATCTCTGAATTCAAGGATATGAGCATTGAAAGATTCACAAAAGTTATTGACCAACATATCACATTTGGTATGAGTTAGGAAAAATGCCTTGCACCAATGCCGAGGATGATGTGCCTTTTTCACCCAGTTATGTGCTTCCTTGTCATACGTCTCCAGGTTTGACATTGCCTCATTGAAGTGCTCAGGTGTAGTACAGCATGCAATATTCCAGATCTCTCCTTCGACGCGTCTCCTGAATGTTTTTTCTTAAAATTTCTATATAAATGTTGCACACAATATCGGTGCTCACAATTTTGGAAGCACCTAAGTTAATGCTCTGTTCAGTCCCTGCAATATAAATAGAAAAGTAAACACCTAACTTGACGATAGAAACCAGATTACAATAATATAGTGCATAACCTTTTGTTGGTTAGAGATAAAAGTGTAGTAGTATTGGTTTTCTATTTCCAAATTCTCACTCAACAACTTCAGAAACCATTCCATTGTTCTGTGGTTTCTTTCTCCACAACTGCCCATGCAATTGGCCAATAACTATTGTTAGGGTCCATTCCAAGAGCAGTAAGTAATTGTCCTGGATAAGTGTCTTTTAGATGGCATCCATCTAAGCCTATAATAGGCCTACAACCATCCTTAAAGCCTTGCTTAAGTGGCCCAATGCAGCAGTATAGTCGCATAAATCTTGGATTACTTGTAGGCAGTCTGAATGGGGTAAACATGACCTCCATAGTACTTCCCTCATGTGTCTTCTTTATTCCATTGCAATATTCCCAAATTTTCTTGTATTGTGCCTCTGTAGACCCCTTAATAAGCTGTATAGTTTTGGCTCTTGCTTTTCTAGCCACCCATTCAAAAATCTCAACCTTATAATCCTCATAAACAGTTTGCCTAAGTTCCCTAACGGGCATCTTTGTGTTAGATTTAATTCTCTCCATATACTTATTGGATAGCCACGTAGAAGTCATGTTTTTATTCTTCCAAGCGTGATTGCAATTCTCATGCACATCATGCATTGTTTTTATCACCAAATCTGATGTACCAAGTGCCCTCTCAATTGATGCAAAGACAAACCAAGGACACGAGTCTCTACAAACAGTTCTCACCCTTTTGGTATCATTTTTACACGTCCAGACCGGTTTATCTGCCTTGAAACCATATTCGGTCACTGCTATCTTGAATTGTTGCCTTGACTCAAATTTTATTTCCAATTCAAACTTGGGGTCTATCATGAATTTATCCCATACAAATCTTTTGTATCTGCCTTCAAACTGGTTCTCATTTTTTGTTCTCATTTTCGTCTGTTGAACTGTAATCACTGCTTAAGTGATCTGGTACATAATCTTCATCCAATGCATTTATCTGTCTCTCAGGACCTTTATCTACAGGTTTCTCTCTTTTTCTCCTCACTTGTTTCTTCCGCTTTTTTGGTTGCTGTGGTTGCTGATTGTTGGTTTTCTACTGAACAGAAGGCTGTTAGAGTTGTTGCTCAGCTCCTACTTGATTTTTAGACTGCTAATGCTTGTTTCTAACCTGCGAAGACCTCTCAGATGTATCATGCTGCTATTCACCTCTTGTATCCAATTGCTGCTGGTCTCCTTCTCTAATGAGGTTATAAAGAAGCTGTTCATCTCCACAATAATCATTATCCCAAGGAAACCTCTCTATTTCAGCATCTAATTCAGATGCAACTTCACCATCATATACAGTGCCCTCATGTGTAGTTCCAGACCCCTCATGTGTAGTACCCTATTCATTCTTTGGATTTTCAACATGACCTCCATTGTTCCTTAGTGGTTGTGCTAAGTCCATAGTTCCAGGCCCCTCATGTGTAGTGCCCTCATCTGTAGTTTTAGGCCCCTCATGTGTAGTGCCCTGTTCATTTCTTGGATTTTCAACATGACCTCCATTGTCCCTTAATGGTTGTGCTGAAGTCTGCCCAGTGTCATTGTCAACAGTTTGCCAAGTTGACTGTGATGCCCCTACTCCACTACGTACCATTTGTAAACAAGGTTCCGCAACCACCCTACCTTCATTATCTAGTTCTTCAATTACCACACCATATTTTTTCCGCTCTACTGAATTACCCCTACCAGCAGCCTCTATCAAAACTTGATCAATTTCTTCAATTGTTAAGTGGTTACAGTAAACCTCCATCACTTTATGTTCATAAGCCAAGTTGCAAAATTTGTTTACATCGGCATCTGTACACAATTCCTTTAACCCACTGTTAAGATCTTTAGTTGGTTCAAAATAGTAATACATTATGGTTTCCTGAATATGACCTAACTCCTCTACCATTTGATTTAATTCATGAATTGACATCCGTTCACAATTACATAAGTCTACATTATCCACATCACCACCAACATAACTTATGTAACTTTTTCAACGAATCTTTCTCCTGTGATGCATTCTTATAGTAAACCATTCAGATCCTGCATCTACATTAACAATTACAAGTAATCATTAATTTGGTAACTCATTAATTTTGTATATAAAAGACCTTAATCCCAAACCTAGGTCAATAGGCGCAATTAAAATAATATATACTAAACTAATCAACAATAGAAATTAAATAATTAGGCTAGCTCAACAAGACAAAGTAGTCATGGCCCAGTTGTTTAAAAAAATATGCTTCAGGACCACTAGTACTTATTTATAGATAGAGATAGTGAACCCAAATATGGGACCACTTTCCTCCCATATTTGAGACCAAACACCCTCACATTCAACCCCACAACCAAAATAATACTTCCTATTCACTTACCCATCACTGTAACACAAATAACCATCAATTGTTGTACCATTTTTGCAGAACTTTGTACAGTTTAAGTGCACTTACCGTATACTAACTGGGGGTCGAAGTAGATGCCCCTTCTCTTGATTTTCTATTCCACCATTCCTCTGGGTAGACTTCAAACCCAATTGTCTTTTTCTCTGCTGCAAATCTTGTTACTGCAAGGAGTAATTTAAGTTTCTCTGGAAAATGGAGTTCCACTAACAGTCCGAACTTTGAAGCTTTCGAGGGACTTTGTTATTTTTTGTACCATAGTGCCCCCAATAAATGTTATGAGAGTAGTCCGTGATGTCTCTTCCATCTATCTTAACAACGAAATTAGACAGATGGACTAAAAATATACACTTTTTTTAATTCGAGGACTACGTTGCGCAATTATTAGTTGGAGGATTAAAAGTGCGCAAAGTTGAAAGTTAGAGAACCACCGCGATTTTTTGCCCTATTTTTTAACTATTTTTTATCTCACAAATATTAAATTGTTACAATACATTTTTCTATAAAAAACATCAGAAAATAACAATAATCCAAATGGGCACTTTTCTCTTTTCAATGCATGCTAAAGGTAAAAAGGAAAAAAGAAAGGTAGCTAATCACTTATTGTTACAAATTTTTAAGCTTGTAATCCAAATAGAAAATTTTAAGATACGTGGGGCAAATTGAGGTGGCATTTGGTTCGCATATTGAAATCAGATTCGGATTTGGGATCCTTTATCCTGAGTTTAGAATAGAGTCCGTCATTTCAATACATTTGTTTAGTTCAATACTAAGAATGTATATTATTACTATAATTCATGTTTGGTTCATTGACTCTTTTGAAATATGATATAAGAAAGGGCAAAAAGTCCCAGTGGCCCTCAAACTATTACCCGGATAAAATTTTGGCCCCCAAATAATTAAAAGTAAAGTTTTGGCCCCCGATCTATTCAAAGTACAAATTGTTAGACCTTCTGTCAAATTCATCAGTTAATATCGACGAAATCTACGATCACGTGAGAAGCACGCCGAAATACGAAGGGCATTTTTGTCCATAAAGAACTGTTATCCACTTGGTAAAATGGGACTTCTTCCTGAACTTGAAAAAAGAAAAACTCAATTGCAACCACAAGAACCGGTATAACCGGCCTCACCATCGCCCCAGGCCCTGTCTGGTAACAATGTGCTCGTGACGGAGGCCAGAGAACGAGTGGGCGGCAACATTACCACGGTGGAGAAGGACGGATATCTATGGGAAGAGGGTCCCAACAGTTTCCAGCCCTCCGACCCAATGCTGACCCTGGTCGTGGATAGCGGCCTCAAGGATGATTTGGTACTGGGAGATCCCAAAGCCCCTCGTTTCGTTTTCTGGGAGGGCAAGCTCAGAGCTGTCCCCTCAAGCCCCACCGACCTTCATTTCTTCGACTTGATGTCGTTCCCCGCCAAACTCAGGGCCGCTTTTGGTGCCTTAGGTTTCCGTCATTCATCTCCAGTGCATCCTATTTAGTCTCTGTTCTTTTGCCAAAGAAAATGATAGTCTTGTGATCTTGTCTAGTTGTCATGCATTTCTTATTGAAAATTTGGTACTACTAGTACATTGTCATGCACCAATTGAGTTTTTCTTTGTTCAAGTTTAAGAAGAAGTCCCATTTCACCAAGTGAATGACAACTCTTTATGGACAAAAATGCCCTTCGTATTTCGGCGTGCTTCTCACGTGATCGTAAATTCCGTCGGTATTAACTGATGAATTTGACAGAAGGTCTAACAATTTGTACTTTGAATAGATCGGGGGCCAAAACTTTACTTTTAATTGTTTGGGGGTCAAAACTTCATCCGAGTAATAGTTTGAGGGCCACTGTGACTTTTTGCCCTATAAGAAATTTTCACTAATTAGATGTATTAGTAAATTTAGTATAACTAATTAATGAAATCAGTCATTCTAATACATCTGTTTAGTTTAGTACCAAGAATATATATCATTACTATAATTGATGTTTGGTTCGTTGACTCTTTCGAACTGGGATATAAGAAATTTTTATTAATTAAATGTATTAGTAAATTTAGTATAACTAATTAATATTTTTTAATAGTAAACATGTATAATTATTAGTATGATTGATAATATCAATTATATTACATATACTAATATATATTATATAATAAATATAACTAATAATATCATTATTATAAGTTTGTAACTAATTAAATTAAATATTATGCATATAATTAAATATAAGTATACTAATATTATAATATAAATATATATAATTATAATTATAATATATTGTTATATACACATAAATATTATATATATGCAAATAAAATATGTATTTATAAATAATATAAATATATTATTATATAATATTATATATATTATAATTAAATAATTATAATATATATTTATATAATATATTATATATGTGTACATAATAATATATTATAAATGTAATATATTTATTATTATAATTTTATATAAATATAATTATATATTAATTTTTTTAACCGGTGGCGGGATGGGTCCCATTCTAAGTGGGGCAAAAAAAATTCCCCCTCCCCCGGCCCCATTCACCTCAATTGCCATCCCTAGTTTTTGATAAATTAAATAAAAATCAGACTTAAGTTTTGTTCAAAACCCTTTAGGTTACTAGAGAATTAGGGAATTCCAAATTTTCAAATATGATTCCAAAATTTCAATTCCGATAATAGTAATCCAAACAATAATTATGGAGTTTATTCTAATATTTCATTTCGAAACTCTCTTACCAAACACCTCCTGAGTTGTTCATTAGTGACATATTCAACATTTTGGACAAGGCATGTTATATCATCAGAAGAAGTAAATGTTTATAGTCAAATTTAGATTTTAATGACCTTTCATGAACTTTTTCACGTTTGCGATGAGCTTTTAAATTACATTTGAACATGCTTGTTTGAAGCACAATCTTGGTAAACCTAACTAGTATGTGGACATTTTGGCTAAGAAAGGAGAAAATAGTGATGGTTCCTTTTGATCTATTGACTTCTGTCCTAATTTTGTATTTCATTTCTTATGGATGATTTAAGGGGGTTTTTTATGTTTCCCCAATCCCCATGACTTAATCTGTCATATTTTTTTACTTCTTCATTTTTGTTTCATCTTATGCACTTCTTTTACTATCTAAAGAAGAGAAGAAATAAAAAAGCAATCTTTAGCTTTACAAACGATAATACATTTCAAAGAAAATTGTACCCTCTTTGCTCATAATTCAGAATTGTACTTAGAGCTGCTCATAATTTGTTGCAGTTTTACTATGTAATTTTTATTATTTTTAAGATCTATTAAGTCCAGTGATTATTCAGAGTAGTTGTATCTATAATATGTTTAATGTACTTTCTGCTATTAATGCACATCTCATGGAATGAATTTTTTGTTTAATCAAAAAAGAGTCGTACTCAGAGTTTTAACACAACTTTTGCACTCTTAAACTATTGAAATTTTCGATATTTGCATCCCTTGCATGGCATTTTTTTTTTCTAAATTTCTTTTGTATGTCACTTTGATCCAAGCGGGTATGTCAAATACACAATTTTATGTCCATAAATTTCAGTTCTAGAAGAAAGAACCTACTTTGCATTATAGTCTCGCACATTCAACACATCATTCATCTTTAGGTTAAGAGTGAGCCCAATATCGGTCAAGAACGAAATTGGGTAAAACCTAGAAGTTTATGTACTCAATCGTCACAAATAGATATAGATCGTGGACAAGGTTAATTCTCGGAGGTTAATACTCAATAATTTTTTTCTCTTTCAAGGGATTTCTTACTAGTGATGAAGAAATGAATAAATTGCTTTAATAGCATGGAATTCAAAGATGTATACCTAATGACATCAAAATCAAATTCATAAACCACACACTCAGTAGTGGCACTTTTTTTTTCCCCTGAAACAATAGGAATTGTATTCATAAATCCAAAAATTTTACACTTGTAGAGCAATGACTCAAAGAGGCTATATAAAAGTGTTAAATATTTTGAGGATTGTTCCATTTCTCATTAACGCAAATGCCTACTGCATAAGTACTAACATATTTACATATATTATCATTTGCTACATCTAAACAGAATGAGCGTTTTTTAAACAAAGAGTTAAGATTGTTGATATCATCCATCAGATTTGCCAATCGATTGTCTTTGGTTTTCCTGGACATCAACGAGGATAAAAGCTGCTTTCTGAGGGATATGGACTTTAAATTCTGTCCAATGCTCTTCTCTAGCCTTGATCAAAACTAATCTTATTGTTTCAACTAAATCTAGTATTGGTATGCTTGTGCCTCTGTTGCTCATGGCCCAAGCTGTCTTAACTTGTCCCATGTGATTCTTTGCCCCCGTGCCCCTTCCCTGCCATTTGATATCCTTATCCTCATAGACAGCTATCTTCGGATTAATTTCATTTGCCTCATCTTGTACCTTTTTTTTGACAAGAAGTTCATCAATAACACTTAAATTAACTCTATAAGATACAATCAAAAGGCTGACTTTTGGTTGCACCCATGAAACTTAAGTACTACTCACGCACACACTCAACAAACGATATGGGACACAGAGAGAGGAAACAGGGAACCTCTACTAAGCACTAACTAGCACTCACTCAAACTAGCACTAACTAGCCTCATCTTGTACCTGAACAGCTTCTTCACTGACTCTGGATGTTTCAAGAGTGCTCTTTTGCTCCTGCCTTTCCTTTGCCATCGCTTTCAGCAGTGCCTCTAGGTGGGGGTCATTTCTTGGGGACAGTTCGGCAATATTGGAAAGTAGATGATCAATTAGTGATTAACAATTATGCCTCTCCCAGATCAAACTAGTCAAAGATCAATTAAAGTATATGCCTTATCAGTTCACCATTGAATCATTATACTTAATAAATCAATCAAAGCCACCCTCGTACGTTTCTTTAGACAAACCAAACTCTTTTTTATCTCCAAGTGTCACTTGACCCCACCCTATTATTTCCAGTTCTTGATTGGATTGCCCTGTCCCAACTGGATCAGCATCACCCCGGAATGTCGCATTCTAGCTACATCTTCCCACCTCCAGAAATTTAAACCCAAAAATATAAAAAAGAGCATGTAATACTTACTTAGTAATGGAACCCAAAAATCACCACCCTTGAATCCAGTAGATAACCATTCTCAGCCGTAGGATTATTTCACGCAATTTCGTTTCATTTTTTTTCGTTAAATATTTGATTATGACAGAAAAGAAAAGAAAAGAAAAGAAAAAAAAGGAACATTTTGCTTCTATGGTTCAGAATTTTGGGACTCTCCCGTTCTGTTATCCGTGAAAGAAATAATACTAACTAGTAAGAAAAGCTGATTACCAAAGTAGGCTGAGCACCTCATCTGGATTTTAGTGCAGATATTTTTTTTTCGATTTGTTTAATAATAGTAAGCACATACTTGTACTATTATTGATTACTACAGATACAGAGAGAGAAAAGGTGAGATTAAGTACAGAAGGGATTATCAATATCCATATCAATTCAATCAAGTAGAGAATCAAAAGGGGATGTTTTTAACCGATTCCGAGGTTAAAGAAAGAAGACAGACCCTCGTGAAACATTCTTGAAGATATCACCAATGGAGGTCCCTTTGCCACTGCAGAAACCATTGAGTTGTAGAGCAGTGGTTAATGGTAGAACCCACATCAAGATCACGCCTTTTTGGGGATTCCTGCCTCATAGAACCACAAGCTTGTTGTCTTCCCAAGTAAAACTTTGCTTCTCACTCACTGTTTTATTTACTTAAAATGCTACTATCGTGAGCAAATTTCCCCTGTTAACTATGGTAGTGATGCTAGGGGTTCATATTAGCATTTAATATGTGCTTGTGTGTGTGCATGTCTTGATGTTTGGTTACTCGTTGCTTTTATGCGTAAGCAGAGATAGAGCTTGTCCTGTATCAATCAGAGGCTCAAAATGATATCTTGAGTAGAACCCTTTTGTATAAGGTAGTGATTATTGATTGGATTGCACTTTTTTTTTTTTATAATCAGTCTTGATGGGAATTAGAACCGATTCATGTCTCTTTAAGGCTAGTGTGTTCGCCTCCTCCCCCTCCCCCTTCCTCCTCTCTCTTTCTCTCTTTCACACACACACAAACACAAACTGAGTACTTTGCCGCTGATCATGATGACATTCTAGCTGTGGAAGATGGCCTGGGGAGGGGTGGCTTTACCACTTGAGCTAAAGCTTACTCTTTTCTAGGCGTAGTTTAGTGGCCACTTTTCATTAACATTTTTTGTATGCATATATGCTGTCTCACAAACTGTTAAAAGGGTTTGTCTTTGTATTGTTTCTTGGTAGGCATATGTTTCTGGTCAGTTCGTTCTATTTGGTTGTGTGCCCTTTGAGGCAGAACCAGTTGTCTGTTAATACTTATAAGACTTTGTTCAATGCTACATCAATAGCAGTTTCATTATTTCTGTCAAATTCTGGTAGCTTTTTGTGTACATTGTGGATTATAGTGGACTTGCTGCGTTGATATATTTTATCCTATCTGATGCATTTGTTATAGTCTTCTTTATGGAGCAAGGACTATGGGGTAGCTCACATTTCGCATCGAATCACTGCAAGTGCAGGTTGGTTGCTTTCATTTTTAAGTTTCCATTGAACGTCTTGGACTTGAGCTATTTCTCTAATTTTCTTAATATTTACTTGAATGTTGCATTGTGTAGATTTTTCTAGAAGAAGACAAAGAAGAACACCAACTCCTAGAACTCAAGACTCTACACCAAAAGGGTTTGTGCCAAGAACACAGCCAGGGACAAGCAGCCAGAGAAGAGATCAGAAAAACAATGGGCAGAAAGAAAGTCAGAGTAACTTGCCACCCAAGGATCTTGGGACTGCAAACAAAAATAGAATTGACCTCAAACAAACCAGTGAAGAACAGGATGATGACATTGAACAAGCAAAGGAGGAAGATTATGAAAATGAAATTGACAATGTTGTTGAAGAGGACTGGCCAAGCCGGAAACCACCACTTGATGCTGAAATGAGCAAGTTGACAGAAAATGGAAGAATTAGATCTGGTAATAAGGACCTAACTGAGACAAATGAAGTAAGAGGAGTTGCAAAGGAAAATGAAGTTGACGGTCATTTGAGTGGAATTGCTTTAGAAGATCAGCCATTTGATGTTATCACAAGTAATAAGCCCGTCGAAATTGATGACCCAAAACAGCAAGACACAATTAAGAAAAATGATGTAAACCAGATCGGGAGTACTCGAATTGTCAAATATATGAGTGAAGATGAATTCTTGAAACCAGAGCAAAAGGAGAAGGATGATTCTTCTCTAAGGTTAAGGATGGAAATGGAAGCAAATTTACGCAAACATGCATTGGAAAGGCTTGCTGAAGAAAATTTTGAGAAAGGAAACAGATTATTCTGTTATCCTGAATTGGTAAAACCTGATCAAGATATAGAAGTGTTCCTCAATAGAAGTCTATCCACATTGAGTAATGAACCTGACGTACTGATAATGGGAGCCTTTAATGACTGGCGATGGAAATCTTTTACTACGAAGTTGGATAAGACAAGTCTCAATGGTGATTGGTGGGCTTGCCAGGTCCATGTTCCTAAGGAAGCATACAAGATAGATTTTGTGTTCTACAATGGAAAAGATGTCTATGATAATAATGACAAAAAAGATTTCTGCATTACTGTTGAAGGTGGTATGACTGTTCCTGAGTTTGAAGATTTCTTGCTTGAGGAGAAACGCAAGGAGTTGGAGAAACTTGCAAAGGAGGAAGCTGAAAGGAAAAGACATGAAGAAGAACAGAAGCGCATAGAAGCAGAGAAAGCTGCACGTGAGGCTGATAGAGCGCAGGCAAGAGAGGAGGCTGCAAGGAGACAGGAAATGTTGAAAGAGTGGATAAAAAAGGCTGCGAAGTCTGTTGATGATGTCTGGCACATAGAACCTAGCGATTTTAAAGGTGGGGACAAGGTCAGGTTGTTCTATAAAAAGAGCTCAGGTCCATTGATTCAGGCTGAGGAGTTATGGCTGCATGGAGGTCACAATAAGTGGAAGGATGGGCTGTCCATCTCAACAAAGCTTGCCAGATCTGAGAGGAAAAGTGGAGATTGGTGGTATGCTGAAAGTAAGTATGATATCCTATGTGATTTGAATGATCAATGATGCATGTTGGTATTCATGATAGAGTATGATATGAAGATTCTTTTTGTCAAGTAAAATGTTTACCTTACATAAGAAGTGCTTCATCTGATTTGATTTCTAGTTTGTTAGGACTTGGGGAATCGGTACTTAGACTGGGTAGAGCTAGTCTTTTGAAGGATAAAATTGGATTCCATCAATATTGATTTCTTTGAGAGAATCTCATTTCTTGAAGTGATAATATGAACTTGTTTATCAGAGTTCATGCAGATTCTTCTGAAGCTGAAAGTTATGTTATGGAATTTATCATGAATCTCTGAAATTCTTCCTATTCGGAGATCTACAGTTGTGCACTATTTGTTGGAGATTTCTTTGTGCATCTTTTACTGAATTTTTGCGTTTATGATAAACACTTCAATTTTTTTTTTAATAATTACTTGAACCATTTTTTTACTTGCAGAGACATAATATATTATTTGCAACAGATGTTTGTATCTCTGAAAACTTCATGCACTTCTTCTTCAGCTTTCTTTTTCCATTGATGTTGCAATTTTATCTGATCTATTTTTATTTTGTTTACAGTTGTTGTGCCTAATCGTGCCCTTGTCTTGGACTGGGTTTTTGCTGATGGTCCACCTCACCAAGCAAGGGTTTACGATAACAATGATAGGCAGGATTTCCGTGCTATTGTTCCACGACGTGTTCCTGAGGATCACTATTGGGTTGAAGAAGAGCATCAGATATACCAAAATCTCCAAGAGGAGAGACGGATCAGAGAGGAGGCCATCTGTGCTAAGGTTGATGTTTTGAAAAATATATTCAAAAGATGTTGTCAAAATGGCACCTTGATTTCAATTCTTTATGATGCAAAATTGATGGAGTAGAGAAATTCTTTTCTAACTGCTGCCTGTGCCCTTCCAACCCCCCAAAAAAAAAAAAAAACAGTCCAATTCAATTTTTCTTTATGGGAAAAATTTCTGTTGATATTTCTAAATCTTAATCTCTCGTGATCTGCCATCTGTAGGCTGAGAAGACAGCACGGATGAAAGCAGAAACAAAGGAAAGAACTTTGAAAACATTTCTTTTATCTCAAAAGCATATTGTCTACACTGAACCTCTCGATGTCCAAGCTGGGAATGCTGCAACTGTTTTCTATAATCCTACCAACACAGTCTTGAGTGGGAAGCCTGAAATTTGGTTCAGATTCTCATTCAATCGTTGGACTCACCGCATGGGTCCATTGCCACCACAGAGAATGTTGCCTGCTGATCAAAGTTTTCATGTTAAAGCAACTGGTGTGTATTTTTTGCTACTATGTACAGCGAGGAAGTATTTTTAGGTTTATAAGTTTTCTTTAACAGATTATTCTGTTTCCTGCTTGCATTTTGATATTTAACAAGGCTAGGCATTTTTCATCTGGGGAAGAACTGACTGAAGTCTTTGCTTCCCTAGATCAAAATTTTATTTAATTTGTTCTTTCAGAACCTTTCGGCAGACCTCTGTTTACCTTTTCTGCACATACATTTGCTCTGACCCAAGATAAGGTGGCTAATAGTTGTCTGTGATGTTTTGGATGCTTACAATACAAACTTATGATGTGTAACTAAAATTTCT